ACTCTCTCCCTCTAAGCTCGGAGAGGAGGCAGCTCGAGGGGCGCCAGAGACACACAGGGAAGAACTGAGCTGTTTGGCACTGGAGCGAGCGAGGGCTGGAGAGGGGGCTTCCTCAGGGACAAACGTGCTGTCAGAGGCCTTTGTTCCTTTGGTGAGCCCTTCCCGGGGGCGGCACACAGCCGCCATATCTGGGACTCCCGCAACCTGGCTCACACTGGTAGCCCCGCCCTGCTGACTCCCTGAGGCCCCGCCCCACCCCACACAACTTTCAAGCCCACCCAAGCTGTTGCCACTTGCTTAACCATAGGATTGGCCGGTCTTGGATCCTGCTTCAGGTTTTTCCTAAATTCTTTCAAACGAGCAGCACCGGGTCTCAGCGAGCCCCATACCCCTCATTAAGTAATACACAGAAACAAACACAGGGAGGCAGCCAAAATGAAGATACAAAGAAACAGGTCCCAAATGAAAGAACAGAACAAAACCCCAATAAAAGAACTAAGTGAAAGGGAGATAAGCAACCTAACAGATACTGAGTTCAAAATACTGCTTATAAGGATGCTCAATGAATTTAGTGAGAACCTCAGTGAACTTAAGGAGGGCCTCAAGAGCATAAAAAAGGACCAGTTAGAAATCATGGATACACAGTTAGAATTAAAGGAGGCATTAACTGAAATAAAGAATAATTTACACAGCTTCAATAATAGAGTATGTAAATCCAAGGAGCAAACCATCGATTTGGAATATAAGGAAGCAAAAAATGCCCAATCAGAACAGCAAAAAGAAAAAAGAATCCAAAAAAATGAGGATAGTGTAAGGAGCCTCTGGGACAACTTCAAGCGTGCCAACATTCGCATCTTAGGGGTGCCCGAAGGAGAAGAGCGAGAACAAGAAATCGAAAACCTGTTTGAAACAATAATGGCAGAAAACTTTCCTAACTTGGTGAAGGAAACAGACATACAAGTCCAGAAAGCACAGAGAGTCCCAAACAAGATGAACCCCAAGAGGCACACACCAAGACACATCATCATCAAAATGCAAAAGGTTCAAGACAAAGAGAGAATCTTAAAAGCAGCAAGAGAAAGGCAGCTAGTTACCTACAAGGGAGTACCCATTAGGCTGTCAGCTGATTTCTCAAAAGAAACTTTGCAGGCCAGAAGGGAGTGGCAAGAAATATTCAGAGTGATGAAAACCAAGAACCTACAACCAAAATTACTCTATCCTGCAAAGCTATCATTTAGAATTGATGGACATATAAAAACTTTCCCAGACAAGAAAAAGTTAAAGGAGTTCATCACCACCAAACCGTTATTATATGAAATGATGAAGGGTCTTTTTGAAGAAAAAGATAAAATGTATGAACAAACAAAATGGCAATGAATACATATCTATCAACAATGGAATCTACAAACAAAATGAACAGGCAGAACAGAAACATTCTCATAGATACAGAGAACATTTTGTTGGTTGCCAGTTGGGAAGGGGGTTGGGGGAATGGGTGAAAAAGGTGAAGGGATTAAGAAGCACAAATTCATTGCTAGACTGACAAACCTCAAAGGGAAAGGGGTTGGGAGTGGGGGTGGGTGGGAAGAAATAAACCAAAGAACTTATATGCATAACCAATGGACACAGACAATAGTGTGGGAAAAGGTGGGAGGGGGGCGGGAGTGGGGAGGAGGGGGTCAATGGGGGAAAAATGTGGAACATCTGTAATACATTTTACATCCAACAATAAAGATTTGGAAAAAAAAAAAGAAAACTGATAATTACATTTGTTAATTCTTCTTTTTCTATGGGAATTGTATCTATTTGTTGTACTCTTGGTTTTGTCTTCATTGAGAAAAGTTTTGAATCTATACAGTGAAATAGAGAGAGAAGGAAAGAGGAAGGCGGGAGTGAGGTAGGGAGAGAAAAAGAGTAGAGGAAAGGGAGTAGACAGGAGGTAAGGAGAGGGAAAGGGAGAGATAGAAAAAGAGAAGAGAACACATGGAAAAGGGGAGGGATGGAAAAGGAAAGAATAATGAAAAGAACCAAGAAAGCAAAGATAAAAGAAATAAAGATTCCATCACTATGTAGAAAGATGAATGAAGAAAATGGCAGAGATAGTTATTCTGAGATTTTATAAAGCCAGGTATAAAGAAATGTCTAAAGGTTTCCAGGAGACAACAAAGGAATGGGAATCAGAATGACATGCAATTTCTCAAAAGTAGCACACCTTGCTACAGTATAAAGGAAGAATGTCTTCAGTGTTAGAAAGAAAATTATTTCAAATCCAAAATTTTATAGTAACCAAATTAGTAATCACGTGTAAAGAAAGAACAAAGATCATTCGCAACATGTCCAGACTCCAAATCTTAACTGGCAAGAGGCAACTAAGATTTCTTAGCAAAATGAGAGAATGACCTCTGAAGAGGAAGAGAGAGACTTTGAAAACAGTCTAAGAAAGGAAATCAGCAAAGGAAAGTCTCAGCAGGACAGCTGATCCATTGGGCCCAGAGAACCATCTCTCTAGACCAGAACAGGAAGAAAGGGCACCAGGAAAACATCTCTAAGATAAAAAGGAACAAAATATTATTTTATACAGTTGATATTTTAAGGAAGATATTTGATAGACACATGATGTATCTAACTGAAAACAATGGAAGATAAAGTTTTATTAACATGTTTAAAAGTCCCACAACAATCATACAGAAAAGAAAATATACACATGGTACAAGAGTTGTTTCAGTGGTGAAAAATATTTGCACGTCCCTAATAAAAACTGATTATTGAATTATTGAGAATTGTGATATATACCATTAAGGATGAGAGAAGTTGGGAGGGGTTAATAAATAAATAAATAAATATTAATTTATCAAAACTAAGAAATATAAAAGGTAAATTTTTAGAGAAATTGTTAAAACAATTACAAAGTGGCTGTAGCTAAAATGTAGAGGTCTTGGTGAGCAAATGACTAGCCATTTCAGAATGCACCTTTTAGTACTATTTTAAAAATTGGTTTTTAAATGAAAATTTAAAACTAAAAATAAAATAAAAGGAGCAACCGAGAGGGAGACTAGTCTGAATCATTTGGTAACGTGCAGGTGAGAGATGATTGCAGCACGAAATTGCGTGCAGATAAAATGCAAATGGGGAGATTTGGGCACATTCCAGATATATTTTAGAAACAGAGTTGACAGATCTTGTGAGTGTTTGGATGTAATAACATGAGTGTTTGGATGTGATAACAAAGAGAGGTGAATTGCTCCTATTTCTTCCTTGCCCAACTGGTTGGAGGCTGCTACCAACAAAACAGAGACCTGGAAGAACCATGTTTTGGGGAATATTTGAGAGTTGCTTTTTGATCATGTTAAATTTAAGATGTCTTTGAGACATTTGAATAATTATGTTCTGCTTGACAGTTGGATACATGAGTCTGGAGACCAGAGGACATTTCAGAACTAGAAATATACATAATGAGTCATCTTCATATTGATGATATTAAAGTTCATTAAAAATATATGGAGTCACATGAAAAGAAAGGATAAAAAGAACAGAGAATCTTATATCTTAAACTTGCAGAACCTTAACATTCAGACTATGGTTAGGGGCAGAGAGTCTTTTTTAATTATAAAAGTCATTACTGATTAGTTTAATTACTTCTTAAAATGTCTCTCTTTCCTACTAGAATGTAAGTGGAGACATTGGGACTGTCTGATTTCGTTTTTGTTGGGTAGACTGGAAATAGACCTCTCTGCATGTGCAAGTGCCTATGGGTGTATGACTGTGTGTGAACTAAAAGAAATCATAAGGAATCAGTGAATAAGGGAAGTAAAGTGCAAAAATTTAAACTATTAAAAAAAAAGAAAAAAGGAAAGAGAAAGCAAAGAGGAAGAGGAGGAGAGAAAAGAAAAACAGAAAAAGAAATATTGATAGTAGATCTCAGATTAAGAAATTTTAAATAAAAAAGCATAAGAAATTATACAATATAAAAATAAATATATATGAAGATATAAAATTTAAATTTTTATCAATTATAAATAACAAATATTAAACTACTATTAATATACGAAATCATTTGCCACAAATAGTTTCAATACTTTACTATCTTTTCTCTATGAATAGTTGTATAAATAAATTGGGAAATAACAGGAATCCTTAAAGAAAAAATGAACAGATAATTCATAGAAGTAAAAATGACCAATAAACACAAACTATTAATTAATTTTACTATTATTTACAAATATAGAAAATAAAACAGTAACTTTATTAATGTTTTTCAAAGCTTATTGAGTGTTTACTGTGCAAGTTGCTGTTCTATATTTCATAATGCATAACATGATTGATACTTGTAAAAAGATAAAGGACCTTAATCATACTTCAGGCTAAAGTAGATCTTAATCTACTATAGCCAACTTGTTATAATTCATTATTAATTAATCTGCAAAATGTGTGTGTGTTTCTTGTCATTCCATTTCGCTCTCTATTCATGGGTCTTATTTAGATTAAACTTCATTACTTTAAAAATAGATTAATGCAATTAGTTTTCTTCTAGTCTCTCTCCCCCAAAACTAATCTACATGTGACTGCCAGGTCAGTTTCCTGAAGGTGAAATGATCAGACTCCCGTCAGAAAATTTAAAATATTTCAAATACTCTACATAGGATTAGATATAATGTCTTCCATTAACTAAACAAAGTTAATCAAGGCAGACTCTTCTACACATTTAAATATTTAATTTTGATGTTGTGTTGATTTATTGAGGTTTGGAACACAATTCCATGAGAGTAATGAGAGTTGATAATGAAAGTTACCATCAAGTTTCCTCCTGTTTTACTTGGTAATGGTGGAATTTGGATTAAGATTTGCCAGACAGTCTTGAAATTCCATTCATATATCTTTAAAAAAACAGTCTAATGATTTAGAGATTATTATTTTATATAAAAACAAATTTGTCTTTTTCTATGTGCCTTATCTATGCAACCATATTAATAAATTAAAATGTTTTCCATTGAGAATAAAGTTCATTTAAGAATGTGATTCCTCATAATTTTTTTCAGAACATTTTTCACTTCCTTATTTCTCAGGCTATAAATAAAAGGGTTTAATAAAGGAATTACTATTGTATAAAAAATTGCCACTGGTATATCTTTCTCCCCTTCCTCAGATGGTCGAATATACATGAGAAGACAAATGTAGAATATTGAGACAGAAAGAAAGTGGGATGCACAGGTAGAAAATGCTTTACATCTTCCTTCTTTGGAGTTCATTTTGAAAACAGTAAAAAGGATGCAAATATAAGAAATCAAGACCGTGGCAATGGTGAAGATTTGAATTGGCAGTGAAAAAATATATATCATTAATTCATTGATATAAGGGTCAGTACAAGAGAGTCTATAGAGTGGAAGGATATCACAAAAAAAATGGTCAATTTTATTAGACCTGCAGAAAGTTAACCTTAATAGAAGCCCTGAATGGATCATAGAATGCAGGTTACTAGCTATAAAGGTCCCTATGGTCATCTGAATGCAGAGTTTCTTTGACATCATGGTGTAGTACTGTAGTGGGCTACATATGGCCACATAGCGATCATAAGCCATTGCTGCCAGGAGAAAGCAATCTGCAGTTTCAGCAAGACAGAGAAAATAAAATTGTACCATGCATTCATTGAAGGAAATCTTCCTGTCCTCAGAAAAGAAGTTCTCTAACATCTTGGGGGTAATGGCACAGGAACAAAAGGAATCCATTAGAGCAAGGTTGCCCAGAAAGATGTACATTGGTGTGTGAAAACGACAATCCATAAATATCAATGCCACCAGGCCAAGATTACCCATCATGGTGATCAGATAGATGGCAAAGACCACCAAAAACAGAAGGTTCTTCAGCACTGGGTGATCTGTAAATCCTATGAGGATAAACTCAGTTGTCGAGGAGTAATTTTCCTTGGCCATTCCTGGCTTCTTGGCTGAGATAAAAATGGTAGAGAAGTGAGATTTTAAAGTAGAGGGGTCTAATTCTCCCCTCTAATATTTCCATACACAAAAAGAAAAAACCTCTTTTCACTTATCCTATGCTGCCTCCTGAAAGCTAGCACACTCACAGTAAGTCAAGTTTGTGAAAAGAAAAGTATCACAGATAGTGTACTCAGACAGGCTAGTCTAGAAATGCTGGCACAGATTCCCAAAACAGAATAGCTGTTGTTGCAGAATTCCCCAATGCTGATGTAAAAATTCCTACTCAGTGTCTATAATTTGGCATTTCCAAAATTAAAAGACATTTTCTTATGGTGTCTTTTTCTCCAAGAAAAGAATAAACAAGTTTAAAATACTTTCCTATGTAACTGATGTGGTGTTTGAAAATAAATTGCTCTTTAGATATTTTAAGTGTCCAATATTAAAAACTCTGTAGAATAACAGTGGGTTTTTAAAAAATGGCTTCCCTAGCTTAGTATCCCTTCGCAGATAGGTTTACCAAGGAATATTTTAAAGAAAGAACTATTCATCTTTAAGACAGGGTAAGAATATAAGTTAATTTTATACCGTTTTTATATTTCAACATTCTGAATCCTACTCCTATATTAATAAAACACATTCCTCAAGAAATTATTATTCTTAATTATCTGTTTATCCTAATATTTTCTGTCTCTAGTTTTTAAGTATCCTACATGCATGTCAAATATTATGAGATTTGGTGACTAAATCTCCATTCACAGTGTTCATATTCTTCGTAACAAATACCTATCTTGTACTCTCTCAAACTCCTCATTTTTGGTGAATCCCATTGAGGTTCTGCATTTATCATATAATTATTTATATTTACAAATTTATCTACCCCTAACCCACCATATGTTTATTTGAACTCAATGATCACCCAAGTTTATTATATATTTAGTATAGTTTAGCATCTATAATATTATAAAAAACATGGGTTTTTAAGAATATCACAATTATCTTTCTTTTCTTCCAGAAATTGCTAAAAATATTTGGCCTCAGCATTTTTTAGATAGACAATTTTGAAGAAGAGCCTACAGTGGTTAATCAAAGTACACCGCTTTTAAAACATATTTTGGTTAGTTTTTTTCTGTTTCTTTTCATCATTTACACTGAATTTAATATACTATTCTTCTATTTGTTCACAAAGTATGGTAAGGTTTTCTGGGGTCTTATCACTAGAGGGGTAGAATCACATGAATAAAATAAGTTTGCCCTTTGTATTTTAGGTCCATAACACTTAAAAAAACAACATTTTAGAATTATAGTATTTTGGAAAAACTTAGTAAAAGTATGCAAAAACAGTTTTATTATCATTATTTTGGCAACACATAATGGTAAATCAATTGATAATACTTATCATATAAACTTTGGTTTAGTTTTCAATAGTCACTATTTTATGTAGAAGATAATGAATCAGAATAATGAGTGAAAACTCATTCTCTTGCCCTCAATGTGAAATATAAGTTATTCAACTGAATTAGAAATCAATTTTACTTTACACCCCATAATTATTTTACAGAGTCAGTTATAGCCTTACCTGTATATTTACTGATACAACAATGGTATTTTTGAACTTAGAATAGGACGGAATGATCCACCATAGTACGGAGTCTCATATGGTTTCCCATAATGTCTTCAATTTAGAGACAGGCCAAGAAAATACTTAAGTGGATAAAATATAAAGCCAATAAAAAATGCTGAAGTATTTTAGGGAAATGTATATTTCTGCATTTTAATGCTTTAATATAAATAAATTAGAAATCAGTCCTTCTATTTTGAGTTTACTGACAAACATTTTATAGTAGCTGATTGGCCACCTGATGCTGTTTGTTTTTAGAAAAATGAAGAATAAAAGTCTTGGTCTCTAAAACATTTGGGAATAAATTATGTAAATCTAGAATACTCCCTCTACCAATAGGTCATTGACAATAATTATGTTAGCATCAGGGCAAAGTTAAAGTTTTCCATTGATTCTGAAGGGATTTCCTTGGCATTAGCATCTTGGTATTTCAGCAGAGACTCCTAACCTAAGAGGCATGGTTTCCAAAACACAAGTAAACCAAAGAGCATCAATTAAAGATAAATGTCCTTTGAGATTCTGGGGTGAAATAAAATGACCGTCACGAAAGTCAGTTAAGGGTCAGGCTGATTTTTTTTTTTTTTTACACACTTGAGATCTCTTTCTCTCTCTCCCCCCCCCCCCCCCCCACACACATATCTTCTTTACTTGAAAACTATAGTGGAGAGAAAAAATTTCATATTGATCACTTAATGGAGGAAATGGAAGTTAAACCAAAATGTGAAGAGAGATTTGGATTTGTGGAAAGGGGGCAAAAATGTGGTTACATTAATCTCCTTTACTCCCTTTGATGAATATGACCATCCTATGGATTCATCTTCTGAAACAACTCTGACATTGTGTATTTTTTAGTTTTACTTATGCATAATAAAAGAACTTTTCAATTAGTCTTTCATATCCACCCTTTTTCTATTATAGATGTACTCTATGGACTGGAAATGTTTTTGGCTCCTCATTACCCTCCAAACCAAGTCTTTGTCCTTTATCTTAGTATTTAAGACCTCCATGGACTGGGGTTATTTCACCTGTGACTTATTTTTTACCATTAATCTTTAAGAATTTATCTCCAAAAACATACCCATCACTTCTCTGTTCCTTGATGCATTAAATTTAAATCCTAACTCAGAATATTTACTCACAATCAATGTCTCATCTAAAAGGCACTTGCCCTCTTTAACCTATTCCTCTGTTCCAGTCCCATGTAATCTTTATATGAGGTCTGCTTCATGAAGACATCTTCAACTTTCTGATCTGCAAGCTAATGAACTGTCTTTATCATGCAAAGAGCTCTTAATCATACTTCAGTTAGATATTTGTTTATTCAGTTTTTCTTTGTATGAAAGTCTTGGTTATTCTCAGATGAGTTTTCTTTTTGACTGTCCATACTGCAAACCTCTCATTGTACCAGTAATATAGGCCCTTAAAGAATGCTTATTGAATTAGTTGCAGAAATTTCATTAAAATTAAATTCAACATTCATTCAGTGATTATAAAAGACAAGACATTGAGTCAGGCATTGAGTAGACAGGACCCCTCAGCAGATGTGGGGCTGGGAAGGAAATTGCTTATATAAATAAGAAATAATTCTGCTGTCATAGGACTACCAATCTAGAGTAAATTATTTACACAACTCTATATAGAGCAGTTAAGACTGAGTTAAATATCAAAATAAGGTATATGGGAACACAAAGAAGGATATAACAGAAGACTGAAAGAAGACTTTGCAAAGAAATGACATTTTCTATGATTCTTATTTATTTATTTATTGTTGACAGTATTTAGGATGTCCCCCATATTTCCCCTATTTATCCTCCTCTCCCCAGCCCCAGCCCCACCCCAGGCCTTCCCCATGCTATTGTCTGTGTCCATGGTCAATGCATATGACTATACATTCTTTGGTTAATCTCTCCTCCTCCCTCCCACTCCCCTAATCTCTGAGATCTGTTGTTCTATTCCATGCATCCATGCCTCATCAGTTTATTTTGTTCATTAGATCCACAAAGTGAGATCATGTGGTATTTGTCTTTCTCTGACTGACTTATTTCACCTAGCATAATATTTTTCAGATTCATCCATGCTGTTGCAAAGGGTAAGAGCTCCTTCTTTTTTACAGCCTCATAGTATTAAGTTGTATAAATGTACCACAGCTTGTGTAACCACTCATCTACTGATGGGCATGTGGGCTACTTCAAGATCTTAGCAATTATAAATAGTGCTACTATGAACATAGGGGTATATGTATTCTTTCTGATTGGTGTTTAGGAATTCTTAGGATATACTCCCAGAAGTGGGATAACTAGGTGAAATGGCACTTCCATTTTTAATTTTTTAAGGTAACTCTATACTGTTTTCCACAGTGGCTGCACAGTCATACCCCAATAGTGCATAAAGATTTCCTTTTATTCACATCCTCACCAACACTTGTTGTTTGTTGATTTATTAATGATAGCCACTCTGGCAGGTGTGAGGTGATACCTCATTGTGGTTTTAATTTGCATTATCTGATGATTAGTGACATTGAACATTTTTTCATATGTGTATTGGCCATCCATATGTCTTCTTTGAAGAAGTATCTATTCAAGCCCTTTGTCTACTTTTTAATTGGACTGTATGTCTTCCTGGTGTTGAGTTGTATGAGTTCTTTGTATATTTTGGAAATTAACCCCTCATCAGATGTATTATTGGTTAATATGTTCTTCCATACAGTGGATTCCCCCTTTTTTTTCTTCCTCCTCCTCCTTCTCCTCCTTCTCCTCCTCCTCCTCCTCCTCCTCCTCCTCCTCCTTTTTTTGTTCTTCTTCTTTTTTTTGCTGTGCAGAAGCTTTCTGGTTTGATGTAGTGCCCTTTGTTTATTTTTTCCTTTGTTTCCCTTGCTCTAGGAGATGTATCCATGAGAATACTGCCATGTGGGATGTCTGAGATTTTACTGTGTATGTTTTCTTTAGGATTTTTATGGTTTAATGACTTTCATTTAAGGCTTTTATCATTTTGAGTTTATTTTTGTGTATGTGTAAGTTGGTAATCTAGTTTCATTTTTTTGCATGTACCTGACCAATTTTCCCATCACTGTTTTTTGTTTTTGTTTAATATGAAACATTTTTATTCCTAATTTATATTTTTGACAAGCTATTTGACAATGTACAAAGAGTACCCAGTTCTAGGTGGTGATTGTTTTGTATTATGATTTATTTACAAAGTTTCACCACATAATAATAAATCAACATTGGTCCTGTAAAGGCCATTAGAATAAATTGTTAAGCTTACAAAAGTTGACTTAGTACCACGGTTCTCAGACATATTATTGTTAAATAAAATCTAGTTCCAAAGGCCACATGTAGTTTCTAATTCTGATTATACACATTTTGAAGCACAATCAAAT